CTCAAAATTAGATGTTTATGTTTTACAAAGCCTAAATTTCAATGTTGAATTGCTGCATTTCTTCTTTTTTTCCGCTCATCCTCTTTTCTGCCTGGAGATAAACTTTCTTTCAACTGCAAACACCAACTTTCTACTCTATTTTTCCAAAAATTACCCAAATTGCTTCTTTTCCTCATTTGTAAAATCTCACTGTGCTGCTCATATCTCAAAGGGATCATTGCACTGCCGTAATATTGCATAACTAAAACAAAACAGCCCACTAGCGCTACTTATTGTTAGACTAACTAAATAAGCGATTTAGGTGGAGCGAGTGGAAGTAAAAGACATCAGGCTACCTCAGCAACTGACCCGAGCCATGGCGGCAGAAGCTGAGGCTGCGAGAGAGGCTCGCGCTAAGGTGGTCGCAGCAGAAGGAGAGCAAAAGGTGAGCATTGTTGGAAGGGGATGATTCTTCACCTATTGCAATTATAACGTATTCATTTTATAGGCTTCTCGCGCTTTGAAGGAAGCAGCGGACGTCATTCAAGCGAATCCAGTCGCTCTCCAACTTAGACACCTGCAAGCGTTAAATAGCATTGCGTACGTTGTAAATTTCCCCTACAGTATACTCATTGGAAAACTTGACTTTTCTATCTTTAGGGCTGAGCACAATTCAACGATCGTATTCCCTGTGCCAGTTGAAATGTTTGGCGCCTTCATGAAGAAGGATGTTTGACGTCTTGGTCATCGTTATTTTTCAGAAATTCTATATTTAGAATTATTTCTTGAAGAATATTGACTCTGCGCAATACAAATTCGTGTACGTAATCTACTATGTTTTGGGATTTATTTGGATTGATGTACTTCTTGAATTGAATATACTGTATTTTTCTCTGTCCGCTGATCTGTGCGTGTGGGTGATCGTTGATACGGAAAGTGATTGGTGAGACCTGCCAGTAGACTGGTAACCTAATAACTACTAATTATTTCGAAATCCCTGAAGCATGTAATCCTTTATTTTTATTAGGCAAGTTTAGCACGAAACTATGCGTTAAGTATGAGTGTAGAATCAATTGTTGAAATTACACATCCTAATAATAAGGAAATATTGCTGATTATCTGCAAATCCTCTCGAACACTACTCTAATGAAATTGTCGGCTACCCACCTTCCGGTACTTTTCGCAAAAGTAAGTACTTTCTAAAATTACAAAATACTTACTGCCTACTCTTCCCTTTACTGCCAGCTTTATCTATTTTTGCCGATAGCTTTAGCCTAGGTTCTTGTAAAACCATAAAAATGTAAAATCATAGTAAATCTGCGGTTACAATTGCTTCTATAAATT